GCATTAGACTCACAAAAAAAATGTTCCTAGAAATGGCGTCCAGACTGCTGACTACAGATTGATGGGGAAACAGATTCTAAGCCACGCCCACATAACTCATCCATATAAATATGGGTAGACGGTTTCGAAATAGGACATGTGTTTACAGCTAAGGGATGAAACAGAGAATGCTTCCACTAAATATATACGTGATATACTGGTCCCTTATCTCTTCCTACAAAAATCGACAAAAGCAATGTCTGCTGCGCAGATTCATTTCACCGGCATGGACAGATTAATACTTCACAGACGATCTTGTAAGATACTTGTAAGGCAAATCATGAGGGTTAAAGAAAAGTAATCCGAAATCTCCTTTTATCCGTCTGTAAAAACAGTCAAATCAAAGTCATACGCCGAAATTTCCACCATAATTCACTAGAGAGAAAAGCTGAAAGCCATCGAAAACACCCGAGTGACACCAAAGGAAAGCAACACCCGCTGGCAAGGCTGTCGATGGCTCCCTCTTTCGAGAGCTGCTGGAACCGTTCTCCAGCATGCGTAAGTACCAATTTACCATCGAAACGAATGAACGAATCGCAGAAAGACTGGCCGTCCTCCTTCCCGAATCGAACCCTCAGTCTCCATCATCACAGAATCGACATCCTCAACCACGCCACGTCTGCCAGCCATAATCACATGACTGAAGAAAGCGCTTTGCCAGGGCATTTTTTGACCCGCTCTCAAATATACTGGAGGGAGGAGGGGGAACACACCTTCGGCTAACTCTCATCTACTGACCAACCAAACCCTGACATTCACGGAGCCCAAAAACTACCGGTGGAAGGTAGGAAATGTTAAGGTGCTGGAGCGAAATCGATAGGTTTGACGGGCACTTCGCGATACATCTCATCGATGAACGTGCAAATTCTTGGGAGTCCCGCGGCAGATTCGCTTGGTGGATTTTGGGGGGAGGGGGGTATTCTCGGGTTTCTCCGAAACGCCATGAGCCTCCCAGAAGTACCGGGTGTTCAGTGTCGAGACGAGAGGGGGAGGAGAGGATGGCGGGGAACAAAAGCTATGTGGTGAAAAAAGGACACGAAGGATTTGTGAGCATAGAGGATCATGCGGGGGTAGGTCAACCTCCTCATTCCCGGGCCCCTGTGGAAGCACCAAATCCTGAACGACAAGTGGCTTAGTCTGCTTAGTCTTTTGGCTGAGTTGATTTTATGTAAAAAGATAAAAAAAAAAAACTAACAAGTAACATAAATTACCGACGTAAATGGCATGCTTATGTGCAAACAGAGGGGCTCTTTTAATAATTATCGAAAGAAAAAAGGTTTAAACAAAGAAATCTGACGAAATTTACGAATATTTGGCATATATTTTATATTATCAAGAATATCAAGATCACTTGGGACAATCAGTGTGGGTATCCCATGTCAGCGATGGAGATTTTATCACATGTCGAGCGCAGCTGTGCCAGGTCCTTCGATCCTAGGCTGCACAACTTCAAATTTACAATTTTTATAAACAACTTTACTTTTAATTCCTTCTCATCTTTCTCACCAAAACTTACATGTCCCCTCCAACATAGCGAAATGGGGTACTGTACTGATGAATCCCACCCCATTTCGCAGCGACTCAGCCGTCTGTGTCTACAGTTCAGGGATTAATACAGACGTCGCCTACTCTAAATACCGGTTTGCATACCTGAGATACCTAAATGCCTTTTTTTTGCAGTTTGACCAAATATTAAAATTCGACTGTTTTCCCTTTGTTGGTCTACACTACGGCCAAATTACACATGTGGCCGTAAGATACGTCTTTTCCCGTCTTGCTTCAACCTTTTAAAAGTTGTTAATTTCATTATTTTCATTAGCAATTTAGTAGCATTCCGAATTTTCCAGTACTTCAGTTGGCACCTACCACCTGTTTCACACTAAATGATTTAAAATTGAATTGGCAAATAAATTAGTGGATTTTATTACTACCAAATTTTTAGTTAAGAAACAAAAACAAAAACATTTGTAAGTTTACTCGTCCAACGAAGTTCCCAGCGTGCTAAAATTATTTAAATCGACTACGTTCGCGCAGTGTCAACTAGCGCTGTTTTCGTTCAGTAATTCGCTGTCTGAACTTTAGATGATAATTAATTCGAAACATTGATGCATATACTGTATAGATGAAACCTTCCCCTTTACATTTCCAATTTTGAGGGAAGACCGGCCCTGGTTAAAACGAAGGAGCCCTGAAGTTGATGAAGCTACCCAGGCGACGCGATTGCGCCTATATAATATTATGAAGGAGATGATACTGAGATGGAAAGTAATAGAAAGTTCAGTTACAGAAGGATGTGCACTTTGCTAGAGGAGTTGCGATAATAGGCAAAATCTCGTGAGTTGCGCGTCGAGGTCAACGAAGAAATTCCAGCTCAAGCAACTAAAATCAGTGTCGAGAGAAATGAAATTTCAACTGATTTGTACTTAACTCCGATTTGTGGTCCAGAGCGAGGAGGACTGGAGTGGGATTGGGGGGAGGGGGTGGGGAGAGGAAAAGTGAGGGCCAGAGGGGAAAAAGCGATGAGCAGTAGAATGCAAAATTCAGCTGCTAGAAGCTGTGTAAGCTACGCGATAGCCAATTGGCCTAGCCGAGCAAGAGAACACTGAAAACAGAAGAAGAACATTGAAACCGGAAAGCACCATCACTTAGTTGTGCTTCCTAGAATGCGCAATTTAGAGCGGCGAGGAATAAGTATGGGGATGCAAAAAATATTGCCGAAGTCAGGTGAGAACTGAAGTTCAAGAACGACTGTGAAAGTAGTTGTATTGGTATATCGCTTTACTTTGATATTTTGATTAGCTGCTGTTCCATTGTCGCCTTTTTCGCCAGTGCTAACACTGGTAACTTCTCCATTCTTCTCTTTTTATGCGTTTGGTACTGCAACAGTTGCACAAAACGAATATTGTCGAGAATTTGTATATGTGTTCCAAGAGCAATTTATTCTCTCTTTATCCATTGATTCCGTTTAGTTTTCCACTGCACTGGCAACCATTTCAGCGCTTGTTTAACATAGCGTGTGTATCAGTCAATAATCCGTTTTATCCAATCTACCTTCTTATATTCCTGCTGCATAATCAGGTCAGCTGTTCTTCCGGGCGCACATTGTCTTTATAATATCGTTCGCTCTAAACATCGATACTTTACTGGAAATGTGCTACAACTTGCTGA